TATCTTTATGACTGATTTCAAAAACCATTTTCAATCAGGACCCATTTTGCCTAAAGAACTTAGTTTTGGAAACTTATGGCCTACATACTTAAACTGCAAGTGGTACTGTGAAAAAACCGTATAGGTTCTGGCATAGGAAATAAAAGAACAAACATTTTCATTTGATATTTGCTGCTGAATAAAGATATCTGCTATTCTCTTGCCATCTCCATCTTCTGTCTCCTGTCTATTTTCACTGAATGTATTCATGTTATCTTTAAAGTTAATAAGCATAATCTCTTCTTTAATGGAGTAAACTTTAGCATTTATTTTGTACTCGTTATTAATTAGGTATATACATAAAGGATGAGGAGGCACAGGGATATCACAGGAATGAAAGACATACAGCATGTGTTTTTTGCTCTGAAAGAATTACAGTCTCGTACACATAACCTTACATACAGTGACTTGATTGCCACTGTGAATAACTGAGAGGGAGGAGGGGGTTTTGCCCGTGAGGTCACTTATTGCTTCCCAGAGAAGGTACAATCCTACAGGTGAGAGAAGCTCACCCTCCCATCAGGAGGAAGGCAGGCAACCTCCCAGATGGAAATAGGCCCACAGGCCAAAGGCTGGCAGCAAGAAAAGGCACGATGACCTGAGACAGACTGCACACTTCTAGGTTTCTGCAAAATTTTCTCAATTAACCTTCTGCCTCAACCATCTCCATAATAGGTTCTGTTCTCAAGAAAAAGCCTTCTTGCCAGCCAAGCCCATGTGACTTTTCCAAAAATTCCTGAGGTCATGATGAAAGATGCCTTCATGATCCTTGTATCATTTGCATTCCTTGGTAAGCAAAGGCAAGCTTTGAGCACAACCATATGGGGCTGGAAAGGAACTGACCTATTATCACTACTGAAATTTGACTCCATAGAATCAGTATTTGTAAAGGTTATGAACTCTGAAAGGGTTTGCCTCCTTTAATGGAAGATCTATTCTCTCTCTGAAACATAAGTATTTTATTCAACATAGTTGTTAGTTAAAAGAACAAGCAGGATGATTCTCAGGAGGGGCCTAGCAAGGGCTGACCACTGAGGCCAGCGGTGGCAAACACATAGTGCCTGTGCTGCAGCGGGCTGTGCGTTATCACTGAAAGCTCTAAAAGCTTTGCCTTTGCTCAGCTGGGCTAACAAGTCACCAAATTCACCCCAACTCAGATAGAATAGACAAGAGACAGCTTCTGTGGACACGCTACAGTCTCTTTATCTGCAATGGGTGATGTTTGTTTTTCTGTAGCTTGGTTGTAAATAAACTTAGGTTTCTAGAAGTAACCACAGGCAACTCTCTCCCTTGCTTATGAGAACTGGGTGCAGCTGCAATATGGAACATAAGGAGAAGTGAAAAGCCACAGTGTGGATTATTTATATATAAACTACATACTTTCTTAATCACTAATAATGCGCTAACACTAAAATTAGCCAACAATTCCTAAACAGACACTGACTGGGGACAAGGGATCTCTTTTGGCTTGAAAGAGTAGATAATGTCACTTCAGGAAATGTTTTCTATGTTTGTATTTTGGTGCTGTTTCTTTAGTTTTATTTTCATTCTTCCCTCCAGCCATCCACATCTCACTAACTGCTGTAACTTCACAGGTGCACTTGCAGGTAAAAGGCTCAAGAGAAAGTGGAGAAATGGAGAGATCTGACTGAATTGTACTAGGGAATACACCTCAAAGCTGAGAGGAGCCCTCTGCAACCTGCTCCATGCTTATTGCTGCCTCCAGGAAAATGGACTCTGAAACCAGGGGTGGGTGATAAATGACAGGGAGGTGGCAAGCAGCCTCAGTGAGTCTAACAGCTCAATGTATCTGCCAAGGCCACTGTTGGTGCCTACGTTTTGTCCACCATCTCCGATTCCATCGTTGCTGTCATGTCACAGCAGGAGGAAGGTTCTGATGTTTTTTGACTGACACAACATTCTTTTTGGAGTCACATTTCTTTTTACACTTGCATTTTTTTTTTTTTTTTTTTTTTTTTTGGTACCACAGATCGAACTCAGGACCTTGAGCTTGCCAGGCAGGTGGTGGCACCACAGAGCTAAATCCCTGGCCCTCACATTTCTTTTTAAAGCAGGCAGTGTCATCTCTGTGGTAAGGATCGGGATGTGGAAATCACAGCTGGGAAGGTCTCCCTCCCTGGCTCTCCTAAGGATCCCACTTGTCCACAGCAGCATCTCTCTGCTGTGGTGGAGTGGTGGAGGCGGACCTGGCTGAAACTCACCCTGCCATGTTTCATTCTCTCTTCAGGCACCAGTGTGAGTAGAGACTGCCTTGTGATTCCTGGCATTTCCAGTGAAAACAGAGGCGCCAAGCTTTCCCACCTGGGCCTTCAACACAAAAACATCATGATTTCCCCTCCTTCCAGTTACCGCTCCTCCCTTGGTTCCATCCCTTTCCCATCTGGGAGTGCTGGCCAACCAACTTGTCTTCATCCTGAAGAAACACATCCTTCTCTGAAGTAAAACGCTGAACAGCAGGTGCTGAGGGAACTGGTTTGCTGGAGTGGCTTGGCCCAATGGGCTCCTGAAGGCAGGCATCTCCACTGCTTCCTCCAACACAGAGGCATGACGTTCCCACAGTACAGATATTCCTTGTTTAACAACCACCTACCTGTGTAACAACTGTTCGGGCTTAGGACCTGCCACTCGAACTTATGACCCATCTTTATTTATTTTTGTTTTTTTGGAGGTACTTTACTGTACATCTTTAGAGTCTCAATCTTGTTTTTGTATAGTATACTTTGTTTATACAGCACTGTAATTTTGTCTGATTGTATTGTAGTTTTACATTGTTACACATTATAATACTATATGTAAGAGTTATGCAAATAAAAGCAAAGTCATCAAGTTGGAGCTTTGACTGTATCTTTGTTCCGAATAATGTAACGTACATACTATGCACAATTGCTCATTTAGTGACCAATTCATTTAAATACCTAGTTGCAGGAACATTAACTTGGTTGTTAAATAAGGAATGTTTATACAGCACTTGAACTTTTACTAGGCCTTGTCCCAGATCCTGAATCCCAACTTATATTTTTATAAGATTCCCAAGTGAATTGCAGGTGCACTACAGCTCGGCAGCACTCGACTAGACCTACAACTTGGCGCTAAATCTGGTCAGCTGCCTATTTTTCTAAATAAAGTTTTACTAGGACAGTCACACTTATGTATGGCTTGGTGATGGGTGCTTTCACACTACAACAGCTGAATAGGGACAATGGAGACTGTAGCCTAAAGTCTGAAATGTTTCTCTCTGGCTCTTTACAGAAAAAGTTTGGGGGTTCCTAGACTACACTGTAGACTCTGTAAGAGTGAGAACCTTACCTTATTTTGCTTAACATGATAAAAAAAATAGTATAGAGGCTCTGCATGTAGGCTTTGCAGCAGGTGAAATTTGCATCTAGGCTGTACCATTTCCTCAAAATAACTTAAGTCACAATCTCTCTGCATCTCATTCCCATCTATAAAATGGGAATAGGTAACAGCAAGCAAGATGTGAGAGCAACCCAAAGGTCTGTCAGTGGATGAACGGTGAAGAAAGTGTACCACATCCATACAGTCTGGATGACCCTGGAGGAACATATGCTAAGTGAAATAAGCCAGTTTCACAAGAACAAATACTGCATGATCTCGCTTATAGGCAGTTATACAAATTCAATGAAGCAGAAAATAGAATGGTGATTCTCAATCTAATATGACCATCCAGTGAGGGCAAGAAGGGAAAACAGGAAATTGCTGTTCAATGGGTATAAACTTTAGTTATACAAAATGAAAAATCTCTAGAGATCTGATGCATAAATTGTGCTATGGGTAGTTAGCAACCATGTACTATACTGTGCAGTCTAAGAGGGTAGATCTCACTTCAAGTGTTTCTTTACAATGACCTGGACAATTCAAAGTAGGAAGTTGGGGTAGCTTAAATTCATTTAAAAATAAATACAACCTGAGCATCTACATGCTCCTCTGCTCAGATTCAAGAGTATATTTTTCTTTTAGGTTTTATTAAACCTCATCTATAACCATGAAAATAAAAATGGGTTATCTGTGATGATTAAGTACAGCTTTCTTGAGCTCAGACAAGCAAGGGGAAGGATCATGTTTACAATCTGACAGAAAAGAACAGAGTATCCCTCTCTTCTCTTTTTATTAATAGAGGTGTTATTTAGAAGAGAGAAAAGGCTTATCGCATTTCAAATATTAAAATTCTGACAAGTGAATAAAACTTAGTCACAAATAGATGAAAACAAAAAACAAAAAAACAGAGTTCTGGGTTAAGGCCTCATACCCGTGGGAGCTTCTTTTCCAGGCACCTGTGGCTCTCTCCCAAACACTGTTCTCTCCTTGTCTGGACCTGCCAACCACATGTGTATATTGCCGATTATATCCTTGGTGAGATCCATTCCTTCCCTCCCCGATAGTTGGAGGGTCTGAGGAGAGCTTATCTTTTGGGGACAGGTGAAATAGGTGGGGTCTCTTACATAACATGAAATATGAGGCAGTTCTTTGGGCTGGAAATGTCGATTCTTTAGTATTCACTGCTGCAGCGAATGCAGTGTGTCAACTTACTGACCTACTGAATTGGTGTCACAGCTGGTAGCACACTGAAAACAACACAGGAGGCTTGCTACACATGAGGAGCAAGTGTGGGGACAGAAGGCAGTAGAAACTGGGCTGACCGACATCTCCATCTAGGACAGAATGGCCCGCACTGAGGCAGCTGTAGGGTGCTTCTCAGCCCTCCATGCACCACACCAGGTACAGATGCTTGGCCACCTCTGCCTGTTAAAGTCTAGGCTGAGAGATATTTTGAGAACATCAGAGCCATCATGTCACTGTCACAGTCAACTTTTAAGGCTAGAGGGACAAGAGACCTTATCTCACTCATTTCCTTGCTTTTCGGCAAGAACAATATACCTGAACCTCCAGTTACTTCAGGATATGATTTAAGGTTAAGGGTTTGGGGTGCAGACAGGAAAGTAACACAATTTCACAACTTTTTTCTACAAACAATTTTAATTGTGTGCTCATTACCTACTTGAGTCTAAAAGGACTCTAAATTGGTCCTTGATGCCCCATGCCCTTCTCACCGGAGTAACTCTAGGAACCTCCTCCAAATGGGAGGCACTTATGGTTCCTGAAAGCAGGGCTGAGGGGACAGCCGTGATGTATGTCCAGTGGTACCCTGAAAACCTCTCCTGCCAGTCATTCACATGAATTTAGTGGGCAGCACTTCCCCAGGACTCTGTATCTGCTTCCTTTTCTATCAGCAGTTCCTGTGAACCACTCCATCTTTCTAGGGAACAATACGCTCCACAGCATGTTTGCCTCATGCTGGGTTAAGACCAGATCCTTAAGGAGCAGGAAGCAAAAGCTGTTCTCTGTACGTCTGCTAATACTATCTGTTCAGAATAAAAGATTCCTGCCAAAGACTTGTGAAGGAGGCCCCCTGATCCCCTGGCTTTCTATTATCTGGGCCTTCTCATCCAGAGCCAGAGCTTTCCTTTCTCTTTGGAAACACTGAGGCTGAATACATAATGCCAGGCGATTCTGCTGAGACAGAGGGAAGGTCACAAATCCAAAAGCTCAAGGGCTCTTGAGCAGGGGGCTGGAAGAAAAGCTCATAAAATCTGTGGTGCAACTCCCTTTCAGGAAAGGGTGTGCAGGGTGGGGTGGATTTACCAGAAGATCTGGCAGTTCGCTTTGAAGCCTGGACAGGAAAAGGGTAGCCTCCCCGGGAAGCCGCCTTCATGACATCTCCATAAGGCTGCTAGGCTGGAAAACAGCCAAGGACTGACATGTCCCTTAAGAAATATTTTTCTTCCATCTTCTTCTAGAATTGTGGGAAAACTGGATAGGATTTGGGGTCTTCCAAGAGTGGCCCTGAATGAATTTTCAGTTCAGGTAGAACAGAGAGCTCAAAAGATTATTTTCTCCTCCAAGGAAACCTGGCTATAGGTCCCCCCTCCCCCCATTCTATCTAGAGCTGTGTGTTGGTGAATTAGTCACATATATGCACAGGGCCAGGTTTGTGGCAAACAGACTTAGGGAGCAAGGCAAAAAGAGAAGGAAACGGGCTCATTCCTTTATTTCATAGCTTCCTCCTCCAAAGCAAACAGGATTTACCTATTAGCAACAATCCACAAAAAGCTATGGAAATGGCTACATGCAATTGATATATATATAGAGAGATCCCCTTGTCACTTCCAGCAACAGGAGTAGGACCAGGAGAATCGAGCCACTGAAGAGCAGGCCTTCTGAGCCACAGCCTAGTCCCCAGGGTACAGGTGTCCTGACAGGACATAGGGGACTGAATCCCCTTGCCTGACCTTGGGAGAAGGCATGAGTAACCCCACTAAGAGGGGAGATCTGTCCTCTTGGGGCTGCCTGGGGCATCTGAGGTGGTAGTGGTTGAGGCAGGGTCTTCAGCAGAGGCACAGAGACCCAGGAACTCCAGGATGATGTCACCAAGGCAGAAAATCAAATGCCTGAAACAAACAGATGCACAACTTAGAGAATGTCTGGCTCAGTCACACACACAGATCCTGTGTAAGGCATGTACCTTCTCACTCCCCCAAACCGATACTGATAATAATCTGAGCAGAACAATTTGATGAACAAACCGCCATGAAATCAATGAAAAACTACTAAAGGCAAGAATAATACTTGAAACTAGATTTTTATAAAATTCTACTTCTTTTTACACAGTGACGTTAGAACATGTACACTACCCTGAAGAACTACGAAGGAAGATCCCCGTGATGTTAATCACTGACCACTACTAATTTTCACAGTTAATTACTGTAGGTCTACAGGGTCGCTTAAAGGAAGTAAGGCAAAGCCAGGACCTTTGAGGAGTGGGAGCCAGAGACACACTCCACTTTGGGGTAATATTTGAGAGAGGGCTGCAGAAGTACCTGAGACTTTCCAAAAGCATTTCAACCTAAGGGATGGAGCCTACCTCTTCCGAATTATTCTTGCAGTCTTCACCCATCCTTTCTGGTCCCTTTATTAGAGTCCAACCTTACTATCTCGTCTATTTCATAGTTAGCAAAAACAACTCCTGATCCCAGCACTAGTCACAGCTTTGCTGTGAAGCCAGAAACTTCTGCTGGAAAATCACATATGGGAAGTACAGGCCAGGGTGTGTTCTTGTAGTGTTTACACAGGCTGGCAAGTGTTGTAAAGAAAGAACTGTTAGGCACACTCAATGGACCTAAAAAGGGTTTTCAGCAGCTCATGTGAGGCCCTGCACGGTGCTGCCCAGATACAAATGGTAGCTGGCCCAGCAGTAGCTTATTATCCAAAACCACCTGCTCTGAAGCCTAAACAGTAGCTGCTGTGGTCAAGGGTCCAGAACAAGCCAAGCCAAGTCTATGATCCTGTTACTCTGAATGTAGTTACACCGAAACCCTACCTACCCCAGATGGCTTCACTGTAGCTGGTGCAGAGTATGCACACTTTAGCCTACCTGTTGATGAGGGGTTGCTGTACAGACTCCAAGATGAGACTCCAGCTCAGCCGGCATTTGTTTACTCCTAGAATTTCTACTAAAAAATCTGATGAGGGAAAAATATAGGATTTTTGTGTTACTGTTGAAGCCTTAGAGGAGGAGGAGGTTGTCTGCCATCTTATACAGGTTGGGCATTTCTAGCACATCTCCAAACCATGTAGTTAAACTAAAATCTCACACCACGGAGAAAAGCCAAGAGAAATACATTACTTAAGTTAGGTACCTAAAGAACAATGAGTCTCAAGAAATAATTTTGTAACCTGCCACAAAAGTGCAGGAACTACTTCTGAAGTTGCAGTTTAGGCTGGAGCAGAGAGGGCTTAGTAAGGGTAAGTGATGCCCATGGTCCAGCACTGAGCTTACAACTGTTCCCTGGCCACTACTGCCTTCGCTGCTTTCTAAATCAACACAAAGGAAGAAAGAGTTTCCAATTGTGCCTCTAATTTATTAAGTCTGAATTTGTGCAGGATGTGTCATGTTCTTCCCTGGTCCCCAAATACCATGAGCTATCCAAGAACTCGGAGCCTTCAGCTGGTACAAATGGCTCTGAGACCTGAACCTGCAGGCATTGCTTCCTCAGATCTGCTTGTTAGTTTTTACCCAAATGCTCTAGTACTAAGGTAGGGCATAGCTAAAGTGACCCATTCCATGCCCTTGCCATCCCCTGAGTGATGAATAAAAGTATTTGAGCCATAACCTATCAGTCTATCATTTTCCTATCAGTCTGTCTTTTGAGCCTAGTTGTATTCTAGGCCCTTTTGAAAAAGGGAAGGCTGTAGGATAATAGTGGCATAACAGGATATGAGGAAAAAGCTATCAGTATATTCCATTTCACTGGTCCAGTTACCTGGCAAGACTCCCATAAGACTCTGCAGAGCCTGTTTCTCAGTAGCCACCTTCTGCTCCTGAGTCCTCACAGGTCGTGGAAGCTTAGGCAAAACTCCACCAGGCCAGATGGACTCCTGAAGAAGCTGGAGGTATTGAACCCAGTGCTGTGGACACGTTAGATTAGCCACCTGCACCTCTAGCCACCTGTGGTAGAAGAGAGAAGGAAGCTCAGATAATCCAGAAGGCAATGGTGCAGTGAGGCAATGGGTTGCACGACTGTGTCCCCACAGGTTCATAGGTTAAAACTGGAACCCTCAAGGTGATGGTATTACGAGGTGCTGGCTCCTGAGAGGTGATTAGGTCATGGGGGCAGAGCCTCGGAGAAAGCAAGTTAGTGCCCTTACAAAAGAAATCCAAGATAGATCCCTCATCCATTCTACCATGTGCAGACACAGGAGAGGAAGGTGCTCTATGAACAAGGAAATGGGCCCTCACCAGACAATGAATCTGCCAGAGGTTGGATCTTGTACAACAACCTTCAAATTGTGAGAAATATATTTTTGTTGTTTATCAGCCACCAGTTTATGGTATTTTCTTATAGAAGCCCTACCCTAGTTGGCATGAATCATGTGAGCAATCAGAAAGGGGCAAATCAAAGTCAGTACTAATATTCACAATGGAAACCAAGCCAATGCAACAGCTGGAATCACAGAATTTGAAGATGAGCAACAGTAACAACAGTGTTATTTATTGAGTGTCTATAAAGAGCCAGGTATTGCAGTCAGGTTTTGCAGAACAAGGTGTTAAAGTGGCCTCAGTCTCCGGGAAGCATTGCACCTAACACTTCTAGCTCTCTGCCAGTGTGAACATTTTAACTCCCTTAGTGTCCTGCACCACAACCTTCAGAGTAAGAGTTTGGTGACTTTTGCACAAAAAACTCTTAACCCTCTCTTGTTGCTCTGGCATACACAGGCCTCCCCATAACTGTTCCAGTTCTATGACCTGTCTTGTTGCTGAGTCCCTCTTCTGAAATTTAAGTCTTACTTTAACCTCACCTCTTCCACAAAACTGTTTGTAAACTGGCCCAGCCAGAAGTACTTTCCTTCTGCCTCGGCCTCCTTTGGAACTTAGCATTGTAGCATAGGTTTGAAGCTAGTATTTTACTCTGGAATATGAATTGTTTTCTCATGTGTATGGAGCTTTCAACTGAATTATAAGTGTCATAAAAGTTTGAGGTCATGATTCTCTTAAAAATTTACCAAAGTGTCTTGGTGATCAAGAAATATTTGTTCACAGCTGTTTGCATTATAATAACTACTTCCCTTCTGTTTCACCATCAAACATTTGTCAGTAACTCTGAGGGGCTGATATATCAAATCTGAAGGTGTTTCAGCATTACTCTCTGTCTCAGTATTTTTCCAGAGTGACATGGTCACTAGCCGAGGTGACTGTTGAGGTCTCCTTTACATGTCCTTCATTTGAGACTGCCATGCCTACTCCAGTCATGAATGAACCCTCAACTGCTTCTACTCATGTCCAGAAAACTCTTTGGGACCACAACACGTAGCTGCTCATGCCAATGCTCCTACACCCAAATTACTTGTCACCCATCCAAGAACAGAGGGGGCTGCCAAGACAAACTTTATTTAACCACCACTATGCCAGACAGTCTGCATTCCACTCAAGCTGGGCATTCCAGTTCTGGGGGCTACAATCCCCCAAGCCCAGGGATCACAAATGATTCTAAGAATAGCAAATCTGAAAGGTAATACAGGGCAAGAATGGCAGACCTAGATGGAGATCAAGAGCGGCACAAAGCTGCTCTTACCCAAATTAGCCCTCACAATCGTGTCTGTTATTATTAGGGCCACGTTTCCTTTTGACAAGGCTTTTCATTCAGTGAGCCTAAGACACCTGATGAGAGGGGATCCAGTGGCACAAATTCCTGCTTCTGTTTATAGAAGAGTGTCACCAAAGGGAGGTGGCTGCAGTGACCTGATCAGGTTCTCTGTGGGGATCAAGTGACCCATGGGCTCCCTTCTTCACCTCAAGCTACAGACATGCTTGTGTTTTTGCTGAGCTGAGCAATTCGGATGAGGCTCTCATCTGAGAGACTTGAAGGGAGGGGTAAAGTCCTGCCAACGGAAATCTTCAAAGACCCCGGAAAAATCCTAAAACTAGACACACTCAGCCAGAGGTAGTTCTAGCCCAGCCTCTCACTCATACAATGCACATAATAAACCACTTTGCCCTTGTTTCTGTCCTCTGGAGTCAAGAGTGCCTGTGACTCCAACTTCTCTTCAAGGCTATCAGCATGCACACAATTCTTCTTAGACTCAGCATTATACCACAGCACATCTAGGTACCTCAGTCATCTTCTGGATATGTCTGATAAGACAGAAGTTGATTTTCTTTTTTGGCATTAACATTAACCCATCCAATGGAGATGTGACCTTACACTGCATTATGGCAAGAATGCCCTCTGCTCTCTTCCAAGGCAAGTTAGCATCTCATACACATATATTGGATGCCAATGAAATTTTAGTATGTGACAAAATATGAATGCATACAAGACCAGAAGACTACAACTTTTTGACTTCTAAGTGGGAACCCTGGGAGGAAGAATCAGAGTGTTCAAAAGCAAAATTAAACAACTACTGACTAGAATAATTCAGTGACTGAAGTAAGTTCATGGGAGTGCATTAGGAGAGCTGACTGACAGAGACCTGCAAATAACACAAAACTGTGAATGCAACGAAGGCACCTGAGGCCCAGAGCTGGTCCACAGAAGGCCCTGGCAGTCATAACTAGGAATCAATGAAATTAGGTGTGTATAAAAGCAAAAGAAAATAAGCTTTGGGTCTACAGAATGGCTTCCACTCACAGGAGCTGAAGTGTTAGCATTTCCTATTATTTTCCTCACCTTAGAGGCTACGTGCTTGAGCCCAATGCCACCTAAACCTTTGATTTCCAGAATTATCCTCTTCTCCAGGTTCTTCCCACCCACTCCTGTCAGGAAAGGAAGGCTACTCTCTTTACTTCTGGCTTTGGTCCACCTCACTTCCCAACCCCAGGCCGCATGTGCAGAAGTCTCAGTGCAACACAGCTCTCTTGTTCACAGAACTTCTGAGAGTTCATCACAAATGATGAACACTGCAGTTTGGAAGGGAGAAATGACAAAACCCAGACCAAGAAAACCACTACCACAAGCCCCTGCCCCAAAGGCCCTGCTCCTTGTGTAGTACATCTGTTAAAATTTGTGTGCTGACACGCAATTGCTAAGACACACTTTATTATTATCCACAATGCTAGCTTTAGCTGTAAATGGCCAGATTTGGGGATCTGATATAATTTGCCTTGCCTGACTCTTAGATAGAACCAAACATCAATGGGTTCTTGGTAACAGTGAAAAAGGTGGGAATTTCTTCGTCCAAGGTGTTGTTCTCTTCATTCCTGCCTCCCCTTCCTCTACTGTTCTTCCCTAAAGTGAAGCTCTATCTATACTACCACCACCACCACCACCACCACCACCACCACCACCACCTCTTTACTTAACAACTCCCTTTGTTGTACTGTATTTATCCAGAGACTGAGTAAGAATGGGGAGGACACAAAGCTTAGAAACAGAAGAGTTAAAAGAGACACTGACCCCTTGAGCCTCCCTATTAGCTCCCATCCTCTCTGAACTATATGCTGCCTTTCTGTTCTTAACATAGGAGTGAGAAGGTCAGAAGACATCTGTGTCCTTACAGCTCTTTGAAAGCAAAAGAGATAGAACTGATACATCAGAGGAGCTTTTTCAGCATCAGTTTCTGCAATATTTTTCAAATTGTGAGCTGTATATCACTAGAATTCATATAATTTGTTTTACTGCTTGTCGCATTATTTTAAGTGGTAATCAGTTGGTACCATTTACACTTTGGCTAAGAAAAACCTAAAGTTTCAAGGAGGACACATACACACACACACACACACAAACACACACACGTTTTCCTACTACTTACTAGAAATTACTTATAATAAACCATTAAGTAAGTAAAATGCTATTGTTTATGTAATACAAAGTGCATTAGGTAAATATTCTAAAATAAATATGGTAGAGAATAGCCTCAAGTAACATTGGTTTTATTTTCCATTACTATTTCAGATCTGATATTTGATTAGGGATCCTTGGTCCTACCGTTCTACCTTTACGGCCCCAGAAAGAAAGAAAAAAACCCATAGCAGGTCTATTCTGTTAAGCCATCTCTGAAAAATTCAGAGCACATAAAAGCCCAGAACTAGTCAACAACATAAGACAAGACAAGAGAATGACACTTAGACATTCAGGAGCTTCTTCTATGTCAGGCATGGGAGGAAGGAGGAGATGGAGATAAGGGCTTGCTATTGACATCATGAGATAATTTATTCCATGATCAAGGGACCTGGTCTGAAATAGTTACAGATAGAGGAATGGAGCAGCAGCTAAAGTCGTTTTCCAACAAAACAGAAGAATCAAATCGTGTGAATAAGGGGAGAAGACTTTAGAGACCATGTCTAATCCACTTAGCTAAACTGCTTTCACTTCTCTTCCAATAAAGCTCTTCTGGCTGCAAGTGAGGAAGGGCCCTGAATCAACATGGCTTCATGGGAAGAGTCAAAGAGAAGGATCTAAAATCATAAGAGAGAAAATATTCCTAAGAGAAATCACAATATTCTAACACAAATGCCCAGTGTAGTCTTTCAAAATAACATTCCTTCCAGACTTCTTGTCCACTGGGTTGTACACAGGAGAAAACGCCTGGGTGATTATGCTGCTACTTCATCCTAAGGTACCAAATACAGCTCAAAGAAGAAAAGGTGGTCAGAAGAGAGCTGATCTTTAACAGCCCATTCTCATGTTTAGGGACAGCTTCTTTCAGTGAAAATAGATGTACAGTAGGAGTGTTGGCTCATTCTACCACCCTTGGAGCAGGGTTTTCAACCTTGGCACTGCTGAGACTTGGGCTGCTAACTCTCTGCTGTGGGGGGCTGTCCTGTGCTGGGTAAATTTTCAGCACATTCCTTCTTCCTCAGCCCCCAGGAGATGTTAGTGGTGACAATTAAAAATATCTCTAGACATTGCCACATGTCCCCTGAGGATGAATGGCTCCAGCTGAGAAGCAGTGCCTTAGACCTAGGTAGGGTCTTTTGGATTTTGTATCAGGTTGTTCTTATAGCCATTT